CTTTGCATTCTGTTGCTTGAGCAGATATTTGTCCAGGTGCAAGTACTGCAGTAAAGAGTCCCAGGTCCCAGCCTATCTCAACTCCACCAGCCCAGGTCCAACAACCACCATGATTTGCCTGGATAGTGCAATAGACTCTAAGACCATAAACCTCTCATGACAGGATTCACGTTTGTTCTGCAATTGTCTCTATAATGTCTGGAGACATTGTTCTTACCATGTGTTCTTGCCCCAAAATACATATTGAATGAATGTTGGCTGTTTGGTCTCCCTGCATCTACTTTTGCCACTCACCAATCATTCTCTGTACAAAAGACAGAGTGTTATTTAGAAAATTTTACTTTGATCATGGCTTAAGTGCTTTATCTTTGCTCTTTTGACAAATCATAAATTGTTCTTCTTGCCTTCAAGGCTCTGGCTGGTTTTGACATTTAACCTTCCTCTCCACCATCATCCCATGCCACTCTCCCCATCGCCCCTGTGGGTGCCCCTGTGTGATTCCAGAAAGTGAGACACAAATGGGGAGACATGGGTGAGAATGAGATGTTTTGCAGATAAGATCTATTATCCATTTGCTTCTAGTTGGTGTGGAAATGGAGGCAGAAAAGATGATCCAACAAGCCCCAGGACATTTGAACTCTTCGCCTGGAGATGAGCTGGAATATTGTTCTCGCTCCTCTGATAGGGCCTAATTGTTGGTGGTGGTGGGGATGGTGGTGACAGAGTGTGTGTTTGTGTGTGTGAAGCAAATCAGGAATCAGGGCTGCTTGCTCCTGCAGTTTAGCTGAAGGGCTGGGATTAAATCATCAAACAGTATAGCAGGGACAAGGCTGGCAAAGAGAAAAGGTAGATGGGTACAACCCTAGAGAGAACAGTATCCATCTGAAGGAGTTTCAGCTGTTAGGAACATGTGGTAAAGAGGTGGAACCCATAGGTTCACCATTGTTTTCATTTACAAAGCAGGAACCTGCCATTTATAGACTCATATATATGCCCATTATTTATGGAGGGTGTTCACTGGCAGCTGTGGTCTCAGACTGTGAGCCAGTGAGCCCAACAGCTAACTTCCCAATATGTCTTGAGCTGTAGTCAGGAGTTCTGATAAGATGATACTTTCTTTCATAAACATGTAGTTACAACTTTCTCTTTGTAACATGAGAACACAGTGCCCCTTCCTGGTGCTAAAAACCAATCTAGACCAGAAAGCAGTGACGGAAACGTAGCCCAAGTTCTGACGTTTTCTGTTTCTCTGCTTGGCATGAAGGTTGGGGCAGTGTTGCCTTTCCCATCAGTGCTGCTTCAACATCTCCTCGGTCTTGAGCAACAATCAGAAGCTGGTGGAACTGGATCTGAGCCACAATGCCCTGGGAGACTTTGGAATCAGACTTTTGTGTGTGGGGCTGAGGCATCTGTTTTGCAATCTGAAGAAGCTCTGGTGAGTCTGAACTAATTTCCCTCAAGAAGTATGAGCTGTGGCTTCAATGAGTCACGATGGTTTGGAATTTTAGTGTGAGAATGGCCTTTGCTGCTCAGAGGATTCCCTCTGTTTATCTCTGGGTGTTTGTCAATAATTAATTCAGTTAGTGTTTGTTGTAGTAAAAGCCATATACTCAGCCCTGGAGGGGAACTTAAAAAATCCAAAATGTCATGCTTGCCTTTAAAGTATTTAGAACCTAGCTGAGAAAATAAAACCAATGTACTGCATTGCTATAGAAGAGTTTTTGGACTTGATGACAGGGCCTTGGTCCACACAGAATAGGAAAAATGATGCTAAAGCAATGCAGACACTTGACATTCTATGCGGCTGTTCATTAAATGCTTCTGGGAGACTTGAATTTTGAAGAAGACAAGAAAGCACTTGAAATTGGTAGGGCTGATTCACACCCATTAGGGTGGCTATTATAAAAAAGCAAAGCAAAACAAGACTACGTATTCAGTAAGATAAACCAGAAGAAAAAGGGCAAATATTGTATGATTTCACTTATATGAAGTACCTAGAATTGTCAAATTCATAGAGACAAGATGTAGAATGGTGGTTTCCAGGGGCTCGGGGGAGGGGAATTGGGAGTTATTGTTTAATGGGTACAAAGTTTCAGTTTGGGAAGATGAAAAGGGTTCTGGAGATAAACAGCGGTAGTGTTGCACAATTATGTGAATGTTACTTAAGTGCTACTGAATTGTAGCACTTATAAATGAACACTTATAAATGTTTACGATGGTAAATTTTATGTTATGCATATTTTGCCACAATAAAAGTACATGTAGAGATCTGGGAAGATGTTGTAACATTGCATGGGCTTGGAAGGTGTTTACATGCTATTATACCAACCAGAAAAAGAAGCAGAAAGTTAACAAAGGGCTTGGATGTGCTCTTTCCATGTGTGGACTGGACTATAGGCAAAGGCAGGACGAATGCTTTCTTGAGTCACAGCAGAGTGGGGAGTGGGATGAGAGAGGTGTTGTGACATTCTGCCATCTCTGAAGGTTGGTCAGTTGCTGTCTCACATCGGTGTGTTGTGATGATCTCGCATCTGTTCTGAGCACCAACCATTCCCTGACCAGACTCTACTTGGGAGAAAATGCTCTGGGAGACTCAGGAGTTGGAATTTTATGTGAAAAAGCAAAGAATCCACAATGTAACCTGCAGAAACTGGGGTAAGTCTTCATGAGTGTCTCAGCAATAAAGCAACTTATCTTTAGGGATACATTGTTTGGAAAATGTGAATGGGGGTTACTCTAAAAGAGATTAATCAGATGGAGTTGAGGGTAAAGAATGGAAGAGACAATATCTGAAGTAGAAGTAGATACTACCAACTGCTAGTAAGTTAGTTATGTCTATGCTACTGAATGCAAGTTCGTGTGCCCAGCACACAGTGAGGCAAAACAAACTGGAACATTGCAGTTTGGAGTAGAGAAAGGTTTATTGCAGGACCATGCAACGAGATGGGTGGCTCACGTACCCCAAAACCCTGCACTCCTTTAAGGGTTTCAGCAAACATTTTAAAAGGCAAGTTGAGGGAAGGGCGTGGGTGGTTGTTGCAGACTTCTTGGTGTTATAATCCTTTGTTCTTGCACTGTCCATGTAGGTCAGGTCACACTGTTCCCATAAACCTCCAGCAAGACAAATGTTACCCTGTATTCTGCAACTTTTTATCTCCACATGGATGACTCTTCAAAGTCAGAGCCTTGAGAATAGGCTATTCTGTATATTTCAGGCTACAGGCAACATTCTTATACAAAGGGGCAAAGCATGACTAAGCACAGGCAACAGGGCACAAAGGTTAGAGTAAAAGAACCAGATCTAATATGGAGTCAGATTTGTTCTTCTCTATTACATATAGAAGTGGAGATTCTCAGAGTTGAAAGAAAGCTTAGGAATTGTGCAGCCCAGTGAAGCAGCGAAACCTTTGCTTCTAAGACATTCACGTGGGTAGTCACCCGTTTTACGGGTAAAAATTTCTAGGCACGCTGGTCATTCCTACACTGCCTGCAGTTCTTATTTCTATGCAGCCCCTTCTTTGTTTTTTGTGCGTTGGTCCTTGTTCTGCTCCCCAGGTTCTGCTAAGAGATGCTGATCTGAATTCCTCAGAGACGACAGTCACACTCTAGGTCTTCTCATCTTTTGCCTGGCTGTCTCTAAACCCTTAACCAGGACATGGCTTAGCACCTTCACCTATTTAGTTATGTTGTCCTAGGTGAGAGTTGGTCTGTTAATGTCTCTATTCGAAGCACAATGCCCAGACCTGAACCTGATACTCCTAAAGATGTGTGGTGGAACTTTCACCTCCTGTGGCAGGGCACTATAATGTCACCGGTGAAGCCTGGGATTTCCTTATATTTCTGGCAATCACATTAGATCATGAGTTCTACTGGATGTCTGCAGTCGATAATAATACACATTTTGGGGGTGTTTCTAACACCAATAACCAATTCTCTGCAGACACCAACTGGGTGTCTTACAAGTCAATTCGATTTTAACGCTAACTACCCAGAGTTATTGCAGACCCTTCAGCTAAGGTCTCAGTCCAAAAAGATATCAATGTCAGACATCAATTGCAAGTAGTGGGTCCCCAGATTACTCACACTTCTTTCTGACTTGGCTACAAATTGAGGATTCACATGACCCCCTACTCAGGTGGGAAAATTTGCTAGAATGACTCACAGAAATCAGGGAAATACTGACTTACATTTACATTTTTATAAAGGGTACAAATAATCAGATGAAGAGACACATAGGGTGAAGTACAGAAGGGTCTGGAGCCCAGGGGCTTCTATCCCCATGGAGTTGGGGTGCTTTACCCTCCTGGCATGTGGATATATTCACCAACCCAGAAGGTCTCCAAATCTCATTGTTCAAGAGATTTTATAGAGATTAACCTCCAGCCTTCCTCCCCTCTCCTTCCTGGAAGTTGGTGGATGGGGCTGAAAGTTCCAACTTTCTAATCACTTGGGCTTTCTGATGATCAGCCCATCTGAGCCTATCTAGGGAACCGACCTTAAGTTACCTCATTAGCATAAACTCAGATGTGATCAAAAGGGGCTCCTTTGAATAACAAGAGACACTCCTATTACTCAGGAAGTCCCCAGGGTTTTAGGACCTCTGAGCTGGGAATAGGGGACAAAGGCCAAATGTATTTCTTTTTTTAAATTTTTTAACATCTTTATTGGAGTATAATTGCTTTACAATGGTGTGTTAGTTTCTGCTTTATAACAAAGTTAATCAGCTATACATACACATATATCCCCATATCTCCTCCCTCTTGCATCTCCGTCCCACCCTCGCTATCCCACCCCTCTAGGTGGTCACAAAGCACCAAGCTGATCTCGCTGTGCTATGCAGCTGCTTCCCACTAGCTGTCTATTTCACATTTGGTAGTGTATATATTTCCATGCCACTCTCTCACTTTGTCACAGCTTACCCTTCCCCCTCCCCACATCCTCAAGTCCATTCTCTATGTCTGCGTCTTATTCCTGTCCTGCCCCTAGGTTCTTCAGAACAATTTTTTTTTTTTTAGATTCTATATATATGTGTTAGCATACAGTATTCGTTTTTCTCTTTCTGACTTACTTCACTCTGCGTGACAGACTCTAGTCCATCCACGTCACAACAAATAACTCAATTTTGTTTCTTTCTATGGCTGAGTAATATTCCATTGTATATATGTGCCTACCACAAAAATACCCACTGATACGTGCACTTTACCGTGTATCACTGCTCTTCCATGTTCTTTACATTGGGTTATCTCAGTTGGCCTCATAAAAACTACACTGAGTAGATATCAGTGTCTCCAACTGAAAGACGAGAACGTGAAGCTCAAAGAGCTTAAAGGCAGGAAAACCCAATGCAGATACAGTCCAGTGTAACCCACCACCCACCCCTTAACTCCAGCACACCGCTGCCTCATGATGAGTTGCTAGTAGGCTCTCTAGAAGGCTTCTACAATATATCCTGCCCTCTCCAACCTGTGTGGCACCTCACATTTAGGTCTGTTAAATTTCTTCATATCTTTCTTTTGACTCATTTTCTAGGCATTATTTTAATTTAATTTTTAAAAAAATATACAGCAGGTTCTTATTAGTAATCTATTTTATACATATTAGTGTATACATGTCAATCCCAATCTCCCACTTCATCCCACCACCTCCTCCACCTCCCTGCTTTCCCCCCTTCGTGTCCATACATTTGTTCTCTACATCTGTGTCTCTATTTCTGCCTTGCAAACTGGTTCATCTGTATCATTTTTCTATATTTTCCACATATATGCGTTAATATATGACATTTGTTTTTCTCTTTCTGAATGACTTCACTCTGTATGACATTCTCTAGGTCCATCCACGTCTTTACAAATGACCCAATTTCATTCCTTTTTTATGGCTCAGTAATATTCCATTGTATATATGTACCACATTTTCTTTAACCATACGTCTGTCGATGGGCATTTAGGTTGCTTCCATGACCTAGCTATTGTAAATAGTGCTGCAGTGAACATTAGGGTGCATGTGTCTTTTTGAATTATGGTTTTCTCTGGGTATATGCCCAGTAGTGGGTCATAAGATAATTCTATTTTTAGTTTTTTAAGAAACTTCCATACTGTTCTCCATAGTGGCTGTATCAGTTTATATTCCCACCAACAGTGCAAGAGGGTTCCCTTTTCTCCACACCCTCTCCAGCATTTGTTGTTTGTAGATTTTCTGATGATGCCCATTCTAACCAGTGTGAGCTGATACCTCATTGTAGTTTTGATTTGCATTTCTCTAATAATAAGTGATGTTGAGCAACTTTTCATGTGCCTCTTGGCCATCTGTATGTCTTCTTTGGAGATATGTCTATTTAGGTCTTCTGCCCATTTTTGGATTGGGTTGTTTGTTTTTTTAATATTGAGTTGCACGAGCTGTTTATATATTTTGGAGATTAATCCTTTGTCCATTGATTCATTTGCAAATATTTTCTCCCATTCTGAGGATTGTCTTTTCGTCTTTTTTATAGTTTCCTTTGCTGTGCAAAAGCTTTTAAGTTTCATTAGGTCCCATTTGTTTATTTTTGTTTTAATTTCCAATACTCTGGGAGGTGGGTCAAAAAATGTGCTGCTGTGATTTATGTCAAAGAGTGTTTGTTCTTCCTATGTTTTCCTCTAAGAGTTTTATAGTATCTTGTCTTACATTTAGGTCTTTCATCCATCTTGAGTTTATTTTTGTGTATGGTGTTAGGGAGTGTTCTAATTTCATTCTTTTACATGTAGCTGTCCAGTTTTCCCAGCACCACTTATTGAAGAGACTATCTTTTCTCCATTGTATATCCCTGCCTCCTTTGTCATAGATTAGTTGACCATAGGTGCGTGGGTTTATCTCTGGGCTTTCTATCCTGTTCCACTCATCTTATTTCTGTTTTTGTGCCAGTACCATATTGTCTTGATTACTGTAGCTTTGTAGTATAGTCTGAAGTCAGGGAGTCTGATTCTTCAAGCTCCATTTTTTCTCCTCAAGATGGCTATGGCTATATGGGGTCTTTTGTGTCTCCATACAAATTTTAAGATTTTTTGTTCTAGTTCTGTAAAAAATGTCATTGGTAATTTGATAGGGACTGAATTGAATCTGTAGATTGCTTTGGGTAGTATAGTCGTTTTCACAGTATCGATTCTTCCAATCCAAGAACATGGTATACCTCTTGATCTGTTTGTGTCATCTTTGATTTCTTTCATCAGTGCCATATAGTTTTCTGAGTACAGGTGTTTTACCTCCTTAAGTAGGTTTATTCCTAGGTATTTTATTTTTTTGTTGCAATGGTGAATGGGATTGTTCCCTTAATTTCTCTTTCTGATCTTTCATCGTTAGTGTTTAGAAATGTAAGAGATTTCTGTGCATTAATTTTGTATCCTGTAACTTTACCAAATTCATGGATTAGCTCTAGTAGTTTTCTGGTGGCATCTTTAGGATTATCTATGTACAGTATCATATCATCTGCAGACAGTGACAGTTTTACTTCTTCTTTTCCAATTTGTATTCCTTTTATTTCTTTTTCTTCTCTGATTGCCATGCCTAAGACTTCCAAAACTATGTTGAATAATAGTGGTAAGAGTGGACATCCTTGTCTTGCTCCTGATCTTAGAGGAAATGCTTTCATTTTTTCACCATTGAGAATGATGTTTGCTGTGGGTTTGTCATATAGGGCCTCTATTATGTTGAGGTAGGGTCCCTCTATGCCCACTTTCTGGAGAGTTTTTTTCATAAATGAGTGTTGAATCTTGTGAAAAGCTTTTTCTGCATCTATTGAGATGATCATATGGTTTTTATTCTTCAATTTGTTACTATGGTGTATCATTTTGATTGATTTGCACATATTGAAGAATCCTTGCATCCCTTGCATCCCTGGGATAAATCTCACTTGACCATGGTGTATGATCCTTTTAATTTGTTGTTGGATTCTGTTTGCTAGTATTTGTTGGGAATTTTTGCATCTATATATATCAGTGATGTTGGTCTGTAATTTTCTTCTTTTTGTAGTATCTTTGTCTGGTTTTGGTATCAGGGTGATGGTGGCCTCATAGAATGAGTTCAGGAGTGTTCTTCCCTCTGCAATTTTTTGGAAGAGTTTGAGAAGGATGGGTGTTAGCTCTTCTCTAAATGTTTGAAAGAATTCACCCATGAAGCCATCTGGTCCTGGAATTTTGCTTGTTGGAAGATTTTCAATCACGGTTTCAATTTCATTACTTGTGATTGGTCTGTTCATATTTTCTATTTCTTCCTGGTTCAGTCTCGGAAGGTTATAACTTTCTAAGAATTTGTACATTTCTTCCAGGTTGTCCATTTTATTGACATAGAGTTGTTTGTAGTAGTCTCTTAGGATGCTTTGTATTTCTGCAATGTTTGTTGTAACTTCTCCTTTTTCATTTCTAATTTTATTGATTTGAGTCCTCTCCCTCTTTTTCTTGATGAGTCTGGCTAACGGTTTATCAATTTTGTTTATCCTCTCAAAGAACCAGCTTTTAGTTTTATTGATCACTGCTATTGTTTTCTTTGTTTCTATTTCACTTATTTCTGCTCTGATCTTTATGATTTCTTTCCTTCTGCTAACTTTGGGTTTTGGATTTCTTTCTCTAGTTCCTTTAGGTGTAAGGTTACATTGTTTATTTGAGACTTTTCTTGTTTCTTCAGTTAGGATTGTATTGCTATAAACTTCCGTCTTAGAACTGCTTTTGCTGCAACCAATAGGTTTTGGATCATCGTGTTTTCGTTGTCATTTTCCTCTAGGTATTTTTCGATTTCCTCTTTGATTTCTTCAATGATCTCTTGGTTATTTAGTAGTGTATTATTTAGCCTCCATGTTTTTGTGTTTTTTATGTTTCTTTCCCTGTAATTTATTTCTAATCTCATAGCGTTGTGGTCAGAAAAGATGCTTGATATGATTTCAGTTTTCTTAAATTTACTGAGGCTTGATTTGTGACCCACGATGTGATCTATCCTGGAAAATGTTCCATGTGCACTTGAGAAGAAACTGTAATCTGCTGTTTTCAGATGGGATGTCCTATAAATATCAGTTAAATCTATCTGGTCTATTGTGTCATTAATGCTTATGTTTCCTTACTAATTTTCTGTCTGGATGATCTTTCCATTGGTGTAAGTGAGCTGTTAGAGTCCCTCACTATTTTTGTGTTACTGTTGATTTCCTCTTTTATAAGTGTTTTTTGCATTTGCCTTATGTATTAAGGTACTCCTATGTTGGGTGCATATATATTTATAATTGTTATATCTTCTTCTTGGATTGATCCCTTGATCATTATGTAATGTCATTTCTTGTCTCTTGTAACATTATTTTAAAGTCTATTTTATCTGAAATGAGTATTGCTATTCCAGCTTTCTTTTGATTTCCATTTGTATGGAATATCTTTTTCCATCCACTTACTTTCAGTCTGTATGTGTCCCTAGGTCTGAGGTGAGTCTCTTGTAGACAGCATATATAGGGGTCTTGTTTTTGTATCCATTCAGTGAGCCTGTGTCTTTTGGTTGGAGCATTTAATCCATTCACATTTTAGGTAATTATCTATATGTATGTTCCTATTACCATATTCTAATTGTTTTGGGTTAGTTTTTGTAGGTCCTTTTCTTCTCTTGTGTTTCCCACTTGGAGAAGTTCCTTTAGCATTTGTTGTAGAGCTAGTTTGGTGGTGCTGAATCCTCTTAGCTTTTTCTTGTTTGTAAAGCTTTTGATTTCTCCGTTGAATCTGAATGAGATCCTTGCCAGTAGAGTAATCTTTGTTGTAGATTCTCCCCTTTTATCACTTTAAATATATCATGCCACTCCCTTCTGGCTTGTAGAGTTTCTGCTAAGAAATCAGCTCTTAACCTTATGGGAGTGCCCTTGTATGTTATTTGTCATTTTTCACTTACTGCTTTTAATAACTTTTATTTGTCTTTAATTTTTGTCAATTTGATTACTATGTGTCTCAGCATGTTTCTCCTTGGGTTTATTCTGCCTGGGACTCTCTACATTTCCTGGACTTGGGTGACTATTTCCTTTCCCATGTTAGGGAAGTTTTTGACTATAATCTCTTCAAATATTTTCTCAGGTCCTCTCTCTCTCTCTTCTCCTTCTGGGACCCCTGTAATGTGAATCTTGTTGCATTTAATGTTGTCCCAGAGGTCTCTTAGGCTGTCTTCATTTCTTTTTAT